ATGAGACGAGAAAAATGTTTTGCACAGATGAATATCCTCTCTCCTTTAATGGTGAAGAGGCTGTGGTAAGTGGCTAACGGTACTCAACATTGAAAGATGCTTAGATTCTCTGTTTGCTAGAACATCATGCGTGATATTTTTCCTGAAGGTCGTCCTGATGGATTTTATCGAAAAATGGCACGCGCACTGATGCACACATCCCCGCCGCTGATTGCTCCGATTTTGTATTCCGAGAAATCACTTAAAAAAAACACGTTGTATGACTCGCCCGATGAGATATATACGCTCGTTGAAGAAACATTGAGGGAAGGGTTGCCCCAAGGTGTGTATTCAGCCCTAGCAACATGTTACAATCCTTTCTGTGAACCTGGTGAAGGTGGATGCTATGCTCCTTGTTGTCCAAATAAGATATTCATCGCGCTACCTCTCAATGGAAAGGTAGTTAGACTCTGACATTGTATGCAGTTCATTGACCTATTTAACAGGCGGTTGAAAAAAGGCCAGGTGATTTGGAACGTCATTTTTCCATGACTTCATCTATTGCATCGTCTCACGATACGGTAAGGTGCCACTTAAGCGTAACGTTTTCTGGATCACGCTAACCGTATTTGTAATCCCAGACTTTGTCACGCGCATGGTCCGCAAATGTGCCACGCGAAATTTTACAGAATACCTCCCCAGAAGAAGTCAAACGTCAGGAAGCTATACATGAACTTATTTACACAGAAGAAGACTACGTGCGGGATTTGAATCTACTGGATGAGGTATATATATTAACCATAACACCGTTCTCTAAGAATTAACTTCTTGCATGATAGCTTTTCGCTAAGCCGCTTGCTACGGCGCAGTGTATTGAATCTGAACGACGGCAAGCATTTTGCGATAACGTGTTCAACAATTATCTCGAACTCCTTGCTATTCATAAGGATCTTTACCGAACATTGCGTGACCATCAAGGAAGTTGCCAAGCGAAGGGTTCAGGCGGCTTTGTTGATAGAGTGGGGGATATCTTTTTGCGATTCATTCACAGATTCATGGCAGCATATAGTAAATACGGTCCACATGTGGTGTTGGCGGAATACGCTGTCAAGAAAGAAACTACGGACAATATCCTATTCCAGAACTTTGTTCGAGAGAAGGAGAAGCAGGCAGAAACCAGAAAGCTCCCCTTCCGACATTTCCTGATTCTTCCAGTAACACGGTTACAGAGATACCCCCTTTTACTAAATGCCGTTTTGAAAAAGACGCCAGACGAACATCCCGATAAAAAAGATTTGACAACCTGTCTAGAGATCGTGCGTGATGTTGCATCAAAGATGGATGAAGCGTCCGAATCAACTAAGATGACCCTTCGCCTTTACCAAATCAATGACAGTTTGCGATTTAAAGACGGAAAAACAGTGGATCTGCAACTCACACAACCGGGGCGTAGATTACTACACGAGGGGATATTGAAGCGCCGACCACACATGAGGGTAGAAACAGTTGATTACCATGTCTTTGTATTTGATCATGCAGTGTTGATCACCAAGGTGAAGAGCGTGGCCAATAATACGGACGACGAATACTACGCTTCTTCAATGGCACCCATTCCTATGGGCCTATTAACTGTCCATGACTCTACCGAAGGGTTATTTGGTCTACGCTCGATGAGCAGCAACTACACAATGACGCATGCTACAGAATCAACCTTAAATATCGGTCTTACAGCAAGTAGCAGTCAAGGCACTTCGATTGTACTCCGTCATTTGGGTCGTAATGGAGACGATTACTTGTTCTGGGCAGAGAATTCAACACAACGGATGGAATGGAAAGAAAAGCTTTTGAAAGCGAAAGAGGAGTATGAGAAAGCAATCAAAAATCAAAAAGCATTTGATACATCTCCTCTTGGTTCTGGTACCTTTGCACTACCATCTTCTCAGGAAGGCGGCGCCAACCGTGGCAAAGTTACCTGTTCGATACCCTTTGGTAAGTAGGTGATACTGTCTCAAACACAAGATAACAACTATATTAGTCGGAGCAAATGGCTCACGCATGGTTGCGATTGGTACACAGTCTGGTATATGGATGGGACCTGAGGATGGCTCTTTCAGGTTGGTTCTAGTTATGCCAATGTCGGAAGTTACGCAAATTGGAGTACTTCAAGAGCACCATGTTTTGCTCGTTCTTGCAGGTAACTTTTCCTTCATAAAGTCAATGAAAGGTCGACTAACATGATGTAGACAAAACTCTCTTGGCTTATGCGCTAGATGATCTAGATCCAAGCATAAACCGAAGGCAGCCAGAGAAGCGTCCATTTTACAAACTTGGACATCATATCTCATACTTTAATACCGGAAAATGTAGCAACCGTCCACTTGTAGTTGCTATGAAGAGAAAAGGCATGGATAGTCACTTTAAAGCGTTCGAGCCTGTTTGTGGTGATCTGCGACATGAAAAAAATGCAAAATATCTTTCGACAAAATCAAGCTTTTTAAGCAAATCGCCATCATGGTTTAAGCTGTATAAGGTAAAAAAGAAAAACAGCTATAGGCCGCCGCGTATTTATTGTGTTAATCATTTATTGCAACGGCAGGAATTCTATATTGGTGCCGATTCAAGTGCTGTTCACTTTTTGAAATCTAGGATTATGGTGGTTTGCGCACGAGGGTTTGAAATCATCGATCTCGAAAACTTGAGCATGAACCGAAACCTTCCTGACCTGACAAATCCGGATTTCGCGTTTATGTATCAGCAACAGCGGCGTATAGAACATTTGAAACCTATAGGCATGTTCCGCTGCAATGAGAATTTCTTGTTATGCTATGATTTATTTGCATTCTTGGTGGACAACCGTGGTAATTATGTCCGCAAAGCATACCCTTGGTAAGTTCTTCAACAATAGTAACTTTTGCTTACTGATGGTTGTTGTATATAGGATTGAATGGGAAGGGACACCTCAAGCAGTTGGTTTCTCCTATCCTTTCGTCATCGCCTTTGATGCTAATTTTATTGAAGTTCGTCATGTCGAAACTGTAAGTAATCTCATTCTGCATTTACATCTTTGATATAACCTTTTCTCTAGGGTGCTCTTGTGCAAGTGATTATTGGTGATAATGTACGTTGTTTGCAATATCGTCAAGATCCGGCATCGGCGTCAGTCATACATGGAAGCATGTTACATACGTTGATACGAGATTCGCAATATGTATTCCAATTAGTACCTGCATAACAATACTGCTTTCCTTCAATTTCCGCCTTGCATGTCATTTCTTCCTATTATAACGCCACTATTGTTTTTATTCTCTTTCTCACTTTCCGTCAACTGTAATAAATATTTCCCTTTCTAGATGCTACTTGTAGTTTTCTTTTTCAGATGAGTGTGAAAAGATGTAATCGTCCAGATTATAGTATAAAACAGAACTAGAACGAAACTATAAGATCTCCTGTTAATAGAATGTTTTGTCTAGCTTGTTTTTATTGAACGTCTCAGATGGTTTCACCCAATTATTCTGTTCAGCTTATCTTTTTATTCTTTGTAATTTTCTATATGCTAATGTAGAATGTTAGTATGCACTGATGTTTGCGCACGCTTTTAAGTAATGGAATGTTAAAGCTTCACGGTTACAAGTACGATGAATATTATCTCAATCTCTTTCATTATAGCGCATTGGTATACCTCAATTCCTAATGTTGCCATTCCCTTAAACACTTTGATGCACGATTTAATATCAACGTTTTCTATAAACTAGAGCTCTTTTTTTATTGCTGCCTCTTAACAGAATTCTTAGGTTCCAACTCTTAAAGAAGCAGCTATTCGATTGCAAACCTAAAGCCAAATTTACAGCTTAAATTAGGGTTTCATATGGTTTGGTTCTTCTCTGTTCTTTAGTGAAACCGAACCAAACCTAATCAAATCAAAAAGGAAATAGAAGAAAACTATGTAAAAAACCGTTTTATCGGGAAATAAAAGAGTACATAAAACCTTATATAAGGTAGTTATGATAAAAAGAGTGTATTTTCTGTAGAAAGTATGGCTATAATAGTTTAAAAAGTGAGTTATGTCAAAATTGGCTTAACATTTTCACTCATATGTAACTAATCGAGATGAGCTTGAAACGTGCTTTACTCATTCATTCTGATGATAAAATTAAGCAGCATATCATCATTGGCAATTCCTGTAAGGATCTTTGTAAATCAGGTAACTGCATCGACATGTTATAAATCACTTAATGCTTTTAGAATCTCGATCACATTTTTTGTTTGAATCAACTAGATGTAACTTAGAATTGCACTAATTAGATGCAAGGAAAAATAGCTTCGGTTCCTCGGTTCTTAGGCTCCAGTTCTTCAGTTTTTTTTACGGAACCCTAGTTTAAATACTTTTATGTAACTTATTTTTATAAATCTTAGATAAATTCTTTTAACTATACCAAAGCATTTGACAATGATTGAAAGTTTAAGTTATACTTGAAATATAATGTAAGCTGTAAATTAAAAAGGAAAAGATTATAGTTATTTAACCTTCAAGAAAAAATAAAACCAACTAATAAAAAATAATATAATGACCAAGCCCTATTTAATACGACATCATATCTGTAATTTAAATTGGAGCCGTTATGTCGGATTCTTGGATTCTTTTCCCCTGGTTGTCTTGCTTCTGTCCAAACGATGATAATTCCCGGATTGCTCAAACCAGCCTTGTCGAAATAAAGAATAAAGGATAACTTTTGAATTACTGATTGATTTCTTCGTTGTCCTTTATTGAATATTATTCTAAATGATATTTATATTTTACAGAACAGAATATGCTAGAAGAATATAATCTATATAAATACTTTTACTAGAAAGTACTATGAATATCTATTTCAGAATATTCAAGCAGTGTCCGTAGCGATCTTTTAGGTCACGTGTTCGGAGTAACGGTTTTCCGGCGACCAGGATTGGTCGGCTTGAATTTTCGCTTCGCTGGTGATGTTTTAGTATATGGATGATCGTCACGCAGGACAGTTATAGCGAGTGCCGGCTTAGCTCAGTTGGCAGAGCGTATGTCTTGTAAACATAAGGCCGCTAGTTCGATTCTGGCAGTCGGCATCCTTTTTGCTTGCCTTGTTTTCAAGGTAACACAGATTGTAGCCAATCAAATCCGAGAATTATGGAAAGAAGCCAACGTCGAAAGAAAAATGCTCTCTGTTAAGCTCGACATAGTAGAATCGTTCGGTTTCCTTTTAACTTATATTACTGCAGCATATCACGTATATCAAACTAAAGTCATGAAGAAATACCAAAACAGAATATGTAGAATACAGATCGTTATCCGTATAGCTTTTGTTGGCTTCCGTTATACCTTTCATTCTCAATTGACGACCTTCGATTCCCTCCTGTCACCACATACTAACTAGGTCTACTGTACTTGTAGTATGAGTAATTAGATTTACGATCTCCGTAGCGCGCATGGGCTTTTGGATAATTGAAAATGAATGTTAGACAAAGCGTTTTGCTGTGCACACTTTTCCCGGTCATGCTCCGGTACTAGACTTTTTTGTTGTTTGCCATTGTCAGTCTTAACTGTGGAAATGGTATTTCTACCTCAGTGGCAAGCATGCTTTAATTTGACAAAGACGTAGCCGGAAACGATAGCCTGGTGCCAAATTTGGTCTGTGGCTCTAATTGTTCCAACATATCCCTCAAGCAGGAATAAAATTACTGGGCTAATTTCATTGCAAGTTAAGTTAAGATTAACAAAGTCTTTATAAGTAATAAATAAAGAATAACAAAATAAATAAGTGGATAGTAAACTAAGGGTTGCGGATTATTTGTGCATGATCGGATTAGCTATCTCAAATAGCCATGGCTTCGGGTTGAAAAGCATCAAGCTTTGTCAACGCAGCCACCGACGTGGATATCAAAGTAGGTGAGGTGGTCTGGCACATTGGTATAAGGAACGATCGAATTGGAGCAATGGCGGTTATCCAATTCCTTGTCGTCGCAGATATCTGTTAAAGACAGAGTAAGTTAATTATGCCAAGGCTTTACTACTAAGTAAACACTTACGAACTGTGCCCATATCATCTTTAACCCAAAGCTCCACTCCGGGGTGAAGAAAGCCAAATGCTTGCGGAGGAAGATGAGGAACAACTAGAATCACACACTCTTTTAGTACTTGGATACAGCCATAGTGATTCGGAATTTACCATCATGTCCATTAATGGTGCGTTGCAGTTTGATGCCGGTTCCTGCAAAATAATAGGCAAATTCAGGATTGCCAACGCGAGGACCGCCTAATTAAAGAGTGAGATTTATATAAGAAGACAGAATATTGTTCATACCATATGTGTAGATGCTTAGGTTATTTTTGCTAAATCGTGTATCACGTTGGTACAGATCTAGAGCTCCTAGGATAGCCAGGGCTCCACCAAGGGAATGGCCAGTAACAACAACCTTGTATTTTGGATATTTGTCTAACTGTTTTCGCATTTCCATAACGACATGCTCTGCAACTTCTTTGTATGCTTTGTAAAAACCGGTGTGGACCTTGGCCCCGGATACAGGGGTATATTGAGCCAAAAGAAATTGGAAGTCCTGGATTTATAGTGTTAAAACTGTTTTTCAAAGCCATAATGTGGAGTAGAAAACAATTACTTACAGCAGCAAAATTACGAAGAGAGCTTGTTCCTCTGAAGACAAGATTGATCTGTTTTTTCTTATCACTTCGGATAATATAGCCGGTAGTTTGATAGGTGGGGGAAGTAAATGCAGTAACAATCTTTGCATCAGGCACGGTACTAGCACAATTCTTACAATGCCATTTTCCACCAGGGGCAACCGAAGGGCAGTAAGCATTGCTTGACAGATAAGTGTAATGGGTCAGTTCGTTGACGTGGTTTGCTGTTGCCGTTGCAAAAAGACGCCGTATTTCTAAGGCATCTGGAAACGCAGTGGCGTTGAGTGCCATACCCCCCTTTTGTTGGATATGAGGAGGGAGCTGCCCATTCTTTTGCATCGCTCTTCGTTCAGCTTCCAGATCAGCCTTCGGAAGCCGAGCAGGAAGTGCAGTACGTTCTGTGATAATTGGAGGAAGGACATCTTTAACCGGAGCTGCCACACCTGGGGTAGCAAGGAGAGAAAAACCAAACGCAATGGCAGATAGTAGGATAGTGGCTTTCATCTATGATTAATAGAACGTGTACTGCAACTTCTCAGGTATTGCAATTCCTCGTTAGAGAGTAATGCTTTTTATAATCTCTCACTTCAGATCCGTAGATCATTGGATAGCGGAAGAAGCGCCTAACATCGACCACAATGAACTAACAATGGTGTTCATGTGCATGGATGATTTCCATATTTTGTACTATTTGACACCATTGAACGCGCTAACTTTATGTTGCAAGCAACTTGACGCGACAAAATAGAAAAACCGTTCCTGTGATTCAAATTCATTGAACGATCATGTCACACAACATGTATAACATTGTACAACAACCCCAATTGCTGCCATTCCATCTTCAATTGGTCTAGCGCGAAATACCTGTTTTCAAAAGCTAAAATTCTACTGACCGCAAGGGAACAAGGGCAAAAAAGTACTAAAAATCCCAATTGCCATAGTAGCTATGCAAGAAGCATGTATATACTTTTTAGGTTATCTGTGGACAAGAAACACACCAAAAAATAGCATCTACGTAAAGTTCTCTACTACCCCATTTTGTTTGCGTCGAAGTTTCGGAGTTAGAATCCCCGATCGTCGGTGTCCCTGATGTGCTACCACACTCCGAGTCAGATACACTCGCAACCCTAATTTAACCTCGTCTGTTTGTACGACAGCGGAGTCACGCTGCACGATCGTATTGATCAGCGATCACGAACTGTTTCATTTTTATTAACCACGAGGAGACAGGAATCCTGTTCCGACACTATATACCCGCCTCTTCCTTTCCAGGCCAGTTGTCCGGATGTTGTATATTATAGCACAACTCAATATTATCAATAATTAATGTAAAAGTGTAAACATAAAGTGTCGTTAGTCAGTAATTGAATCCTTAACTTCTATATCCTTAAAACATAAAAGTAGTAGACATTATAGCTTACTTGTTTTAGATCGTATGGTTGTACTAAGCAGTCGGTTATGTGTATGCTCCGTTACTTGAGAATCCACCGTTTCCACCAAAGTGGCAACTGTGACTGTGCGTCAACGCTAGGTCGTGGGAGAATTTTTCGGATTTGCACAGATAATGATTACTAGTTCTTAAGAACGTGCCCTTCATACACTAGGTAGAAAAAGAAGAGTTATAGATAACGAGACAATGGCAGCTGGACAGTGATATTTAGCAATCTAATATCCTTTTAATGGAAAGTTTGGTCTTGTCAGTACCAATGTAGTTAAAGCGGAGTGCGTTCAAGGCTTAGTGAACAAATGGTGAATTCATCAATCTCGAATGGGCTTACCGCAAAACAGACACACGCTGTAGATGCCTATAAATGAAGCGACCGCTATCTTCAGCTGGCTAACGCGCACAAATCCACTGCTATAGTAGCACAAATATGATTCTGCAGAACGTGAGAAACTCAAAAGCATAGAAACAGTACGTATATTCGAAAAGGAAGCCATTAAAGAATTTTTTTTACACGACTTTAAGAGTGACACCTGTAACATTGCTGCTAATTGGTAGATGGCGGCTTACTAGTAAGGATAATGCAACTCGTTCACATAGGGAAAGTATAGTAGAATTGCTTATTCTGCTTTCTAAGGTTTTATGCAGTATTATGATCATTTCAACGAGTATCTAATCAACAGCATTCTTTTGCTATGAGTATAAATTCTGTGATCATATACGTCATAGATCCATGTTACATTTTTGCATTATATCCTCAGTGAGGGAATCTGAAGCGTTGTTACGGCGTGGATGCAAGGCAATAGGCAATTGGGTACAACTACTCATTTTGGCTCTCGTAATGGAACAGTATGATACATTTTCTGAATGTTACTCATTGGTTTGACATAAACTGCAACGATGCGTTCCTGGGAAATTTCCGGAAAGAAACAAAATGCATTAATAGTGACACGACAGTGAAAGAAAAAATCTGATATACAGTCTACCTATGTGTGTAACCTTCGATGTTATTTATGTAACGGTATTACCGCGATATACGAAACGTGTGGAGCTAAGGACCCTGAAGCCGCCATATTCCCGTTTCTATCACAGCTGCTTCCATAAACAGAAAACATATGTGGAATAGGCAATCGTTTTTCTCAAGTCTTTCGCTAGCGATAAAAAGCTTCTCTATTGGTCAGCGTCCTGTACCTCAAATGGCATTGATAAACTTCGTTTATGTTTCATAACAAATCTAATGTATTAACATAGGTGATACGCAACTCAGCTTTTCTTAATGAATGATATTTCTCTTAAGACAAGGACGTCAGCACAGTGTAGAATTTAGATTATTCTAAGAATTTTGTATCACGATGCGCTACTCAAAAGAAATCACGACATAAGCATGTATACTCCGTAGTTGGTAGCCTTTTAAAATAATTGACGTTACCTTATGTTCAGTAAATAGACCACAACAATCAGCCTTTGTCACAAGATAAAATATGTCTAGGCGAATCGAATCCACGTAGAGCCGATCCATAGCAATTGGTACAGCGTTGATGTGATGCATAATAAGAAGATATGGCTCCGCGTCTTTGACGGCATTGCTGGGAAATATTTTTGATCTGGATGAATAAATACCCTACCAAAGTATTGAACTGCTACTGCCGTTCCTACCATACTGCATCAACAATTTTGTCTGCATGGAGGAGCAAATATAGTGAGATTACAGGGCCGCCTTGCCCAGTTACGATCGAGATTACGAATGATATCTGCTGTGAATGGTGTATGCGGGAAATTCCGGAACCAACATAGAAAAAAACAGTAGCCTTCCTCATGCGATTGTATTCTTTTTCTTCATCACTTTGACAGCTGGCTAGAAAAAAGGAAAACGAAAACCCAACAAAAAGTGCAGGTGCCTTATTGCATGCGTTGCAATAAATCAAAATTGTTTTTGTAGATATTATTTTCTTTTTTATTCAAACCATAAGCAACATATATTATGTT